GAGAGAGAGAGAGAGAGAGAGAGAGAGAGAGAGAGAGAGAGAGAGAGGGAAACCAGATAGAAAGAGATTTTTGAGTAAGTAAGTATGCGAGACTTTTGCCAATTTTCCAATGTTACGAATATGACATGCCTTTTAATATTGTGTGAACGCGAGTCGCGTACAACTGATGCCCCCATCAAAAATGTTTACAAATTATATTGTCGCTTTGGAATATGTGTATACTTTGCATAGTGTATGTGATATTATATCGTCACATTGTTTTTTATTCGCGCCATCATCACATTTTCGACAAAGAAAAAGAATTTACCCCAGCAGCAGCATCATATCAGCGATATTTCACTTTGTCTCCTTTTTTGTCGCACATCCAAATATTATTAAAACCGAATATTATATTTCTGTTGATGCTTTCGATGCCTGTGTGACAACGGCTGTTTATCGTACGTTCTGTGTATTATTGTTTTCACAATGAATTTTCATAAAATTGCGAGTGAGCAAGTGATAGAGAAACAAAGAGATAGAGAATGCTAGGATCGGGCTCGTAGAACACAAAGTTCGTGTGTACACGAAAACAAGAAATGATACACAAACATATCGCCACAAGAGAGAGAAAAACCAAAGTGGTACAGAGACATTGAGTGAAGAAGCAATAATTTTTTATGTATGCTTTGTGTTGTTGGCAATATTTGAGTTGTGAATATGCGAAGGGGTTCGTATATTGCTGTGAATTACTTCGAAACAACATAACATAATCGAATGAAAATGAGACCGAAAACTTGGAGAGATGGAGAATGGATGACAAATAAAGGAGACGAGAAAACAACCAGCAATGTTTTGGGTGCTGGGTAAACAGATTAAGAAGAACATATATCGAATCACACACACACACATCCTCATCCACGCATGCATCTATCCAAATGCTTTGTATGAAAGATAAAATACAAATTATCTCTGAATTTACATTTGGCTAGGAAAATACCGCATCGTCGAGCAATAAACATTTTCACCGATCGAACTATTTCTCATTGGTTTTTACTGAGGATTTTCGAAGTTGAAACTTGATTCGAATACAGCTAACGGAGCATCACCCCAATATTTTATGCGATGTTAAAACTAGAGAGACTACGGCAATATATTGAACCTCTCTTTCTGTCTTTATCCCTCCCTCTCTTTCCCTTTCTTTCGCTCACTCATGGCAATCTATTGAAAATTTTAAGAAGCTTATGCCATTGTTTGTGTGGCTTTCAGGATATCTTCATGCAGAGTGAAGCGCTTGACATAGATATGGGTTACTTTATAGTACTCAGCGCTACTAAGATACATTCACACATACCAATTTGCCCAAGACCAAAGGCACACTGTTTCGCGTGTCTGCTTATTTTTTAATCATATTTTAATAAGATTAAAAGTGTTAAGTGTGCTCACTCTCTCTCTATTCAGTAGTACGAAAGTATCTACGAAAAATGTTCTGCAAACTGATTGACGTTCGCTTTCAATGTGAAAATATATACAATGAAAATGTTAGCGCCCCATACTCGTAAATCCATACTACCCGATGCAATGGCAAAAATTCGCCTGAATAATTTCGAACAAAGTAATCATGTACTAACGAACGATAGCGCGACAACATTGAAAATGTGCCAAATAGTTAAATCAACAATTTATTAGATTTTCATTGAATCGAAGACCAAACTCTCAAAAGTCTTGTTTTTCCATCGATTTTATGTTTTTTTCGCCGTTTCACGTATTCATCACATTCAACTACTACAATATTTATCATATTTTTGATGTCATTTTTAATGAATATTGCGGTGACAATGTATCGAAAATTTTAGTTATGTTATTATAATGTCTATTTGGAATTTGAATTTTAGATATCACATCATATTGCATGTATAAACAATTCGATGGCAAATCACTCCTGACACTATAGTTTTATACATTTTTTATGACTTCACAGTCTATATGAATGAATCACATTCATGCAATAGATTTGAATGTTGCTATCTGATGCATACGCATTATCTCAATGATTCAATATTTAATATAGCTGATGGGCTTAGAATTCTGTCAATTGTGAGCCAAATTTTCCGACGAAATCTTCCATAAGCCACCTTAAACCAGATGTGTGCTGTGTATTTTTGCCGAAAATTGAGTGCATTCAAGTTTAATCACTCGTGAGCACTTGGGGAATTATCAGATGTGTGAATGTTGTCGTTAAATGCAATTTCGATGTTCTAATTGGTGATCTCATTGACCGCATGCAAAACAAAGTTTTAGCCCTGAAATTGACAATAAATCAGTCTGAAAAGAGGCTTTTATCAATAAATCCGCAAAATCGGTTTGTTTAAATTGCATTCATTGATCATGAGGAATTCAGTGTGCGACCAGGACCCGCTTCTCTGCTCTCCTCTCTTCTCTCTCTCTCTCTCTCTCTCTCTTTGTTTCGCTTCTTTCTCATGTAGACGATATAACGATGTTTCGTCGTGTGCTGCATTGTAGAATTTACATTAAAATTCCATTGTATGCATTTACCAGACTCTCATATGCATCTATAGTATTTAGAATTTTTTTAAAATGCTATTGGTGTTTGTGTGTTAAACGTACTCTCTTCATGCAGTGGATGTATTAGGCAAGTGTTTTGAATGTAATTCGAAAGACAAAGAGCTTAAACTCAGAATTCACTTCTCGTTTAGCTATGGACGAAATAAGCGGAGCGATGCTTTTCTTCTCTTTTTTTGTCTCTATGTTATATAGGCAATGTTTTGTAATGCCCAGATATGCAATTTATGTGCAAAATTCAGAATGTTCCTGTGACTCTCCTCCTCTCCTTTTGCTCTGATACCTCTTTTCGAGCATACAGCTCGACTCGATTCAAGTAAAACCTCATTCAGTGTGCTGTAATTTAGATCACGACATAAGAAGGACACCGACTGATATATGGTCTCATTTTACAATGCATAACTTGAGCTGAACGACGGAAAATGAAAAAAAAAAAAAGGTACACAGCGCACACATTCAACGTGAATTGTTATAGAAACGGTTATGGTGCATCTTTTTCTATGGTTTTGCTTCGTTTTCCATTGCTCCAGAAAATCCCATACATTCACCAACGTTTAATTAAAATTTGCTAAATACTTTTAGCACGATTTTAGTTTTTTATAAAACACGATGAGCACACATTATTCGCATTTAAAGATGCCATGAAACCGTCATTCGTTCCGTAAGCAAGTCATAAATTGTCGCGCACACTATAGTATACTCCACATATCCTGATTATGGGAATATAGAGCGGTC